TCGATAAATAAAAAAAAAAAAGGGAAGGGAAGGGAAGGGAAGGGAAGAAAAAAAGAAAAAGGAAATAAAGAGTAAGAACTTTTCTTTCTTTATATCTTTCTCTATCTCTTTTTTTTTTTTTTTCAAATTAATGATTCGAGACGAGAAGATAGCAGCAGCAACGTGCACGAGCACGTGTATATGTGTTATATATATATATATATATATATATATATATACATGTATATAAATGAGCAAAGAAAATACATAGATAAACGTTTGCGAGGTCAGAATATTTTTACGATTACATATGACGAAATAGAGATGATCATTTCTTCTTCAATATAAACGTAAACGAATCAAATTCAATCGAAACGAAACGAAACGAAACGAAATGAAATGAAATGAAACGAAATGAAACGTTTACTTTTCCCCTTTCTCCAACAAATATAAGAAACTTGGATGAGTTACCAAGTAAACAAGGATAACGACGAACAGTAGTAGTTTGTTAGCAGTGGCATCTGTCGATGTTAAAGTTCGTATATAAATACGTATACAAATACTTATACACATATAAAAGTGGAGAAAAAAAAAGGGAGAAGAGACGACTAATCTGACGCCATAAATGTCACAGGGACTTATTTCGAACTTTTAAGGATTTTTTTTTTTTTCCTTTGTCCTCATTGTCATCCTCGAAAGAATTTCTCGTCATTCTTGTAATGAAAAGAAAAACTAACAACAACAAAAATACAGGTAGAATAAGCATTTTCTTTATTTGTTTTCTTTTTTATCGTCGATTATTTCAAATAAATTATTAAAATTAAAATTAAAATAAAAAATAAACATAGAGCGAGTATGTGGTCTTACGATTCGTTGAATTTAAAATGAAAGTAGACAAACAAATCATTTAAAAAACAAAAACAAAAATATTGTAAGTAGTGATTGTGAAATTTGAAAAATGCAAAACATTAATAATTAAACATTTATACGGGAATCGAATGATTCACAAAGCGTTAGAGTGCTAGACCATAGTCTAACAACACGACACGCCTCGTGTGCTTTGCATAAAATTGTTGGTCACGATCGTGACCAAACACGAATCGTCGCTTAACGTCCCCAATGGATTGCTAAAGTACCGTCCAACTATATAAAATATGTCTCTGTGTTTGTATATATATATATACATATATCCATAGATACTATAAATCTTGTAAACTATAGGTTAATGGTGAAATTGAGTAATTTAATCGTCGTTAAAATCCTTTTTAAAAAAAAAGTTTAAAGGAAAGTCAATTTAATTGGGCTCAATCGTTGTTAAAAAAAAAAAATATTCACATTTTAATATGAATGACGTGTACTCTTAACATATATTTAAATTTATGCAAGAAAAGTTATATATAAATTATAATATTTATTTATTGCATTGTTTATATTATAATTATAATTTATATATAGATATATAAAATTAATTTAATTGATTTTTTTTTTTTTTTTAAAGTGTTGTTATTACAGTTAGCAAACAAACACCACTGACAAAATGAACTTAGGATACTTTCAAAATAAATGATTTATTTTTTAATTACGTGTTTAATTTGATAATTAATTTCAATTCTATAATCAAACATATGATTTGTGTATAGTTATATTTACTTGTAGAAATAGTTAACATATGAACATATGAAAATGATGTAATAAAGATAAAGATATGAAATGTAAAAAAAAAAAAAAGAAAAAAAAAAGAAATCATATTCCATCATAAGTTGCAATCATGTATTTGAATAATCATCGATCTAAACGTCATAGCAGAAAATCCAAAAATTCTTCAAACATGTTGTGATTATAATCTTGGCAATAAAAATATGGTTGCATCAGAAATGACGTAAACTGCATCAACGATTTCTTTCATGGGACTATATTATATCACTTTGACTAGACAATAATACTTAAATTTTGTTTTTGACGATAGCTATAACAATTTTAAGAATGATGCAACCCTAATATAAAACGAATCAACTATTTCTTTGACTCAACTCCTGTTTGGATTTGATTTTTTTTAAAACTTTCAAACATCATTCTGATTTTATAAGTGAATTTACATTTATTTTGTATATTTATACATTTTTTATATTTATAAGAAAATTATTTAAATGCATACTAACGAGATATTAAATATTAGTATTCGACGAAAAAATATTATCGTGAATTTTTGGGTGATAATACAAAAAAAATAAAATGCATAATCTACTGCAATATATTTAACAACAACAAAAAACACAAAAAAAAAACAAAAACATTATATCACATAAAATACAAACAGTTCGAGCATAAATATTGTGCACTAAAAAAGATTTCGCGATCTATAATTTAACGATAAAATTAATAATACCTGTTCGAGCAATATATCGAGACAAGTTTTCTATTTCTTTTTTTTTTTTTTAANTCGACGAAAAAATATTATCGTGAATTTTTGGGTGATAATACAAAAAAAATAAAATGCATAATCTACTGCAATATATTTAACAACAACAAAAAACAAAAAAAAAAAAAAAAAAAAAAAAAAAAATTCAAATACGAGATAGATATGCGTGAATGTTATTAACCGTGTAAGATTTCGCGATCTATAATTTAACGATAAAATTAATAATACCTGTTCGAGCAATATATCGAGACAAGTTTTCTATTTCTTTTTTTTTTTTTTAAAGTACGTTTAAGAAACTAACTAATATTTAAATATACTGTCGTATACGGTTAATCGAATATATCTTGTTACACTGTATAACATTAATAAAAGACACCAACCAAAAAAAAAAAAATCTACGAGCAATAAAGGAACGAGACAAAAAGAAAAAATCATTTTCATTGGTAGACCGATTGGGACTCGTTAGAATTTTCGCAACGGGTGGCTTCGAAGTAATAATTCGAAAGGGACGTTTGCAGGGAAGTAAAGGAAGGGGGGGTAGGGTAGGGTAGGGAAACTAGGAAAACGATTTAAAACTTGCTCGTTCGTTCATTCGTTCGTTCTCTTTTATTCGTTGCGATAGCTCGAGTTGAAAGAGAACTTACTATATATATATATATATATACATATACCAAACCACGTCTAGATATTTTTATTTGAATAAAATTAATCACCTCACCCAATGCCATACATATTCACTCGAGTGGAATTATCGTATCTAGGAATTATATCTAACCAAACAAAATATGAAATATAGTAGTAATAGTAATAGTAGTAGTAATAGAATACGTGTTTTTATCCACGTACTTCTAATGCAACTGTTTATCGAGATATTCGATCGAACGATCTAACAACAGGTGGAAGTGTTGTATGCACTCTTCTTCGTAATTCACTGATTGAATAAACATATTTTTTTTAAACACGTTTTTTTTTTTGTTATTCTTCACCCTTAGTTGACGACAATAATGCAATTATTTCTCACGTATGTATTATTTTGACAATTAGATCTATAGATATAATTGAACCATTTAATTTATTTCTTGTTTTTTCTTTTTTGTTTTTCTTCATTCATATCGTTCACATATAAATTATTTCTATCAATTATCAGTGTCAAAATTATATTAAGATTTATTTCTGTTATAATTTTGTTGTCTCGTCAATGAGTTCGTAAAAATCTGTCTCTCACACTGTCTGGAATTTCTAATTGATTTACCACCAACCAACCAACCAACCAACCAACCGCACATGCGCGTGCACGTGTTTCAAGAAAAAGAAAGAAAGAAAGTAAGTAAGTAAGTAAGTAAGAAAGTGAATTAAGGAAATGAAAGGTTGAAATATTAACACACACACACACACACACACATATACACATATACACAAAAAATAGACAAAAAATACATTGTCGAGAATAAGAATCAAAAGAAGAAAAGTTTTAATCGTAATAATAGTAGTAGTAGTAGTTAGTAGTAATAGTAATAATATTAGTAATAGTATTAGTATACCTTGTCTACCATCAAAGTTACTCGTAAACGTGAACCGGTGTAATTTATTTGACCGAACCCAGTGACCGCGCCAAGAATGCTCGAGGCGTTTCGATTTTCTAAATTAGCATAAAACCTATATAACGAGAGAGAAAGAATAAAAGAGAGAGAGAGAGAGAGAGGGGGAGAGAGCAGACACGTTCGTAGAAATCTCGAAAAAGCGTGACACGTATTTATGTACATAGACAAATAAAACATATATATATATATATATGTATGTTTTATTAGATTAACGTTCAGCCAAAAATCATTGAGTAAACTAAACTTTGGTCTAAAGTTATTTACACAATCTTACATTGTTATATATTACAATGTATAAATAATTGTATATATCCGTTAGAACAAAAATTGAATTTATGACGATGATGATGATGATGATGATGTGTAAAACAAGAATAGAAAATAATTCTTATGAAAGAATAAAGAAAAAGATGATTTAACTTACATCATTTCCAATTTGCCCCATACTGAAGGTATCACCGCCAAGATAAGCGATAGTATCCGCTTCCTGGCAGTATTCGTTCTCGTTTGCGACAGGAATTTTGGCTGATTTCAATAAATATAACACTAGATATACACCGAAAGACTCTGTGTGTGTGTGTGTGTTTGTGATTTCTTTTAAAAAAATAAACTTCGACTAGTTGTTGATAAACGATGACGTTCGTCAGTCTTTTCTTTCTTTCTCTGTTTCTTTAGTTTTGTTTTCTTTTTTTTTTTTCTCTTTTCTCACTTAGGAGATTTTTACAAAAACCAAATTTATCGAGAGATTTTTTCTTATATATATATATATATATATGTTATATAATATTAATACACGATGTGAGAGTATATATATTTTAATAATAACAAACAAAAAAAAGTCAAAACTGTGACGATGAACAACAACAACGCGTTCCTCTTCTCTTCTCGAAGTGTAACGAAGTACGATGAGTCGAAAGATTCAGGAGGAAGAAGAAGATAGTAGAAAAAGATGATATTATTAATTTCGTAGATTAGAAAAAAAAAAAAACAAAACAAATCACCGTAGAGTTTTCACGTTCGGCCTGCCTTTACCGTGACACGTCCTTAATTCGTCACTTTCGAAGAATATTGTGAATGATAAATAGTTACCAGTCATAATAATATCACAGACTGATTACGGAGCCGCGTCTTTCGTCGTGTTATTAACTGTTTTAATTATTATTATTATTATAATTTCTTCCTCTTTCTTCGAGATTATTTATTTTTATTTCCACAACAACGAAGAGAGAGAGACAGACAGACAGAGTAGAACGGGATAAAGAAAAGATAAAGGGGATAAATATTGAAAAGGATATATTTTATCGAAAAGAAAAGGAAAAAGGAGAAAATTGATCTTTTTTTCTAATTGGTGATGTCGATAAAAATCAACGAGAAATTTGATGTAGGATATTTAAAAAAAAAACTAATTATAGGAAATTGGATATCTCTCTCTTTCTCTATGTTTATTTTCTATATATATTTTTAAATATATATATATGTATATATAGAAATAAAATATTGAAAACAATTGAAGCAATTGTATAACAAAATTATATGTATAATAGACTAGGAACACGAGATTAATAAAATACAAAGACTGAAGTTAATAATACAACACTGAACATCACAAGTTAAGCGAAGACTAACGATTCTAAATTCGTGTCATGTTCCTTGAAAAGCCGGTTGCTAACTGACGCTGGTGTATGATAGCTCGATACCGTGCGCTCGTGCCCGACGATCATCTGGTCGGCTTCGACTAGGTAGTGGGAGGGAAAAAGCTCATGGTGGTGGAAAAGAGCCGGCTTTTCGCTCTTGTCATTGGTCGACAGTATCGTATATAAAAGCTCTTAACATTTCCCTAGCATAGAACTAACGCACAAAGAAACCTTCGTTACTCTCTTCTACATTTTTTAAATATTAAAAATACTATTATATATAGTTAAAGGAATATTTTATTTTATTTATTTATTTATTTATTTATTTATTATTTATTATTTGTTATAAATTTTAAAAAATAATTATCAATTATATTATTATTTGTTTATAGGAATTATTCGAATAATTATTTTGTCGAATATCAAATCGATTATTTCTCCTCGAGATAAATGTATATGTGTGTATATGTGTGTATATATCTGTGTGTATGTATATATCTAAATCTGATGCAATATACGGCACTGAAGGTGTGCAAGCAGCCGGCTCGATCAGCTGATGCCTTAGCAACAGAGGTATTAACCGACCTAAAAATATCAACTTCATTTTTAAGGATTCAACATATACCTAATATAAGACGAGATAGGAACTGTCCTGATGAATTATTATTATTATTTTTTTTTTTTTCTAATCCTTTTAATTATAAGTTCTATTTCAATAGTTATAAAGCGTTGGCTATTATTATTAATCATTGCTGTCTCATTTATAAAAAAAAAACCGCTCGATTTGCATCGACATGGCATTCGATTATTTTCAAAGGTAAGAAGATCGGATGATGCAATTAGCTCGGATGTTGACGATGATCATACCTGTGCCTATTACAACATTTACCTGTTCATTCTTCATCGATCGCAGCTGAAACGTGTCTCCTTTAGCTTAACTTTACAATGAAATAATATTTTAAGAATCCGTTCGTTTTCAAATAAAAATAAAAGTTAAGAGACGAACGACCAACCAACCAACCGACCCATCGATTTCTACGAGACGTGGTGTCGTCGTCGTCGTCGTCCCCCCCCCCCACTTTTCTGGGATCTTTTTTCTTTCCTCCCTACCATTGGAACATCCGGACAAAGGGACTTCTTACTAGATTTTCAAAGCCTTGAGTGATTCACCACTTTGCTTTTCATAGATGACACGCCTACTGTACAAAGGAATAACAAGATTTTCACAACCTGAAAGTTATAATTTGAACAAATTTATTCTTTACTTTCGGCATCGTTTATGAATTTTTACAAATATTGGGTTGGCAAGAAAGTAATTTCGGTACTAAGTAAATATATATATATATATATATATATTAGGTCATTAAATATGAAATGTCTGATTTCGAGATGAAAATAATCCGAGTAATATTTCATTAATTCTAACCTATTCTAATTCTATCCAATCATCAATATCTAACCAATTCATTTCATTAATAATAACCTAATATTAATATATGTGTATATTAATATATATATAATATAATTATATTTAATATATTTTATTAATATATTTATTATTATATATATAATAAATACTATATATTAATATATTAAATATATTAAAATTAAATTTAATATATAGTAATAATATAATAAATTATATTATTATATTATAAAATAATATAAGTATTTTAATATAATATAATATTATTGTGGGTTGGCAATAAATAAAACCGTAATTACTTTCTCGCCAACCCAATATACATATTTCAAAATGACGATAAGTGTACTACTATACTATTTGTCGTATCTTACTTGTATAATTACTTTTGAAAAAATTGTAAACAAATAAAAAAATAAAAAAAAAAGAAGAAATTGACGAAGCTGTCTAAATATGTCTAAATGACGTAATTACTTGAGTTGTTAAAAATATGAAAAAATGAGTTTATATATCTTGACCTCGATAAAAGCTCGATAGCCAAACTTGCAAATCCAATAGTCTCTAACGTATTAGAAATATTAATTACACTTGAAACAAACAGTGGCACTAATCGTGAGAGTGTTGATTACAGATTTTAAAGCCACCAAGGAGAACGACTCTGTGATCTTACACACGTTCCTCCGTAACTCTTAAAAAGGAACGAAACGCGAGATCTAAGGACACGTATTATTTCTGACACTTTATTTTTATGCACATCAAATATATATATATATATATATATATATATGAAAAAAAAAGGTGTTATTACGATAGATCGTAAAATAATAATTGTTTCTCATTCAACACGTTCCTCGTGATGAAATTATTCGTACAAACTAATTAGAATTTCAAAAATATAACCAAATTGATTTATCCCGATGTCCCTCTTATTAATTCTATTGGGTAGGCAAGAAAGTGATATTTTACACTAGAATTACATTCTTGCCAACCCAATACATCTTCCATTTTAACCTAATCTTTCGACGATTATAAATCTAATATAAAAAAAAAAAAAAATGAAATCATCATGTAAACGCATAAGTTATACACCATCGTGGTCACATAAAACAGAAAGGAACACATAGAAAATTAGGAACTTGTAATAAGAAAAGAAAAAAGTTAGTAAATGATTAATTCTACGAAGATCATTTGTGTGATCGTCGTTCGTTCGTTCGTTCGTTCGATCGATCGATCGATCGTGTCGATCTTTCTAACGCTACGACGAAACAACCGTAAAGTGTTTCTGTTATTTTGTATTCTCGGGAGCGGCTACTTGGGCGAGGTTAGTGTTGGAAGCACAGAAGGGGTCAACGTTCGGGAAAGCGCCTCTCGTTACAGCACTGCCATATGCTATTATAGGCTTCGTCGCTCGGAAATCACCTCCACCACCACCATCACCACCTCCTACCCTTTCTCTTTCTCTTTTTCTTTCTCCTCTTCAAGTCTACGAATCACCGTTCGTTCTCCAGGGCTCACCTCCTCCACCTCCTTCTCCTTTTCTCTTCCTTCTCGTTAAGTTCCTTCACCATCCCTAGAAACGTGGATCTCGCTACTGCTATTACTACTCCGATTCGTAATTAAAATAAATCGTTTCCTTTGTAAAGGACCAAACGTAGTAGTCAAGAATTACGAGTAATTTTGCACTAACCCGAAAGAAAGACAACAAGATGGATTCGATTACGTAAAGAAAGGTATGGAAGCACGCGACTTTATTTACCATAGAAAGAAAATAAGTAAAGTCGTGTTGCTTGCACGATGACACAAGGTGGTGAAGGAGGAGGAGGACGAGGATCATCGTTAAAAATAAGACACCTGTCTTTTTGTTCCTATTGTTCTACACCTTTTTTTTTTTTTTTTTACTTTTTTCTTTTTCTTTTCCTCATTCTTCGCGAATGACAAAGAACAAAGAACAACATGGAGAAATATAGATAGAGAAAGAAATATCAAAGTTCATTAAATATAAAAAAAAAAATAAAAGTCTTATAATAAATCTCTGACTCAAAGGGGAAAATAAAAGAAAGAAAGAAAATAAAAAAAAATAAAAAAAAGAAATGAACAATAAAATTACACATAAAATAATATAAGCTATAACGCAACACATATAACGTTGATGATGGTAAAAGAGATATGATAGATAAGTGTGTAACATCGCTAATAGAAAAATTATTCATAAGTAGATGCAGCAGCAGCAGCAGCAGCAGCAGCAGCAACTGTTGTTGACAAAGAGAAAAAGCGAGAGAGCCTTGAGGAGACAGGTTTTCTTGTAACTTGCAAAACAGGGGTAGAAGAGGTGGAGGAGACACACGAATGAAGAAAAGAAGGAAAGAAGAAAGAAAGGAAGGAAGGAAAGAGTTGTTCTCTCTTACGTAATTTCTCGTATAAATAAAAAAAGAAAAAAAAAATAACAAACACAAAAGAAAATGAAAAACATTATCGTTCTTAACTGACGTATTAAAAAAAAAAAAAGAACTTTGTGATCGATATGGATGGACGTATGACGAATTAAACAATCGTGTTGCTATGTTAATGAAGAGTTGTTTTTCAGTTTCTTCGAAACAAAAATACGTTTTTGTTTTTTTTTGTATTATACTCTGGCTTCTTCCGTTGTTTCGGTCATTGTGACGAATTAAACAATCGTGTTGCTATGTTAATGAAGAGTTGTTTTTCAGTTTCTTCGAAACAAAAATACGTTTTTGTTTTTTTTTTTTTTTTTCATGGTCTCTGACGTGAACTAAACACAAAGTTTGCCAATTTTATTTCTCATTATTCCACCTAATCTTTGCATTAGTCACAAATATCCGATAATGATGAAAAAAAGCAATACACGTGGGATTACATATGATTTGTATAATCAATGATGACGATGACAATGACGAAAATGACACTTGAAACCACTAGAACTATTACAAACAATTAATGGGATATACGTAAAGAAATTAGAATTGGTACACGTCTGATAGAAAACATATCAGTTTACTTGGATTGTTGGACAACATTTGTATGAAAAATAAAATAAAATAATAAATGAAAGTTCTATATGAACTATTTTCGATAGTTTTATCGTTAAATTGTTTAACAACCATGAGTCAGAATTGTTGATAACGAGAGACTACACTTTTTCTGGCGTATAAAAAGACTCACGAATTTGTCGTTTAAGATTTATGACTGAACCATATGTAGTCGATGTTACAGGAAGTTTAAGCGTCAAAAGATATATTTGTAGGTTTCATCAAAAATGATTGATAGATCATTTAATTAGAAGAAAATCAAAAAGTTACGAACGATAATTAGAGTCACGACAAAATAACAAATGATATCATATTTAATATGAATTTTGTTTAACACTCGTCACGCGCACATGTGTGATATTTAATAAAATAATTATTTATTCAAATTATCATTTATGAATAAAACAAATATACGGTGTATAGAATAAAGAAATTTTCAAAGGATCGATTTAAACATCCGATCTATGAATGTATTTGCACTAACAATTAGATATACGATATTATTATTATTATTATTACTGTTGTGTTGTTATATACACATAAAAGCAAAGCTAAGCCAGAGTTGGACTTAGGGTCAGCGTGAAACGTTGAAAAAGAAAGTCACGCCATATTCGATGTATAATGTAAAAGAGCACAGCTGCACCGCGACTGTTACGTCATTTCCGTCCAACTA